CAAAGATTAGTTTGTAGCATCTGAGAGACAGTGTATTTCTAAATACAGAACGTTGTAGTACTAAGTTATTTTTTTTTTTGTTATCTTCAGAATATCTACTAACACCCTATGTAGAAACTAACAGACTAATAGTAGTGACCCATAACATAAATAGGAATATTAATTACTTAAAATAATACATTCAATAAAATATTTATTCAGAAATAGCAGAAAATATACCTAAAATATAGTTTTAATATCAACAATTTTACATGTTCCAAGTATAAAGTTTAGTAGAAAGTAAATTAGGTTCAAACTACTTTTACTAACGGCTGTAACTCGAAGCAAAGCGAGCGGTATTGATTTTTTAATTTGAACCAAGTTCAGGCAAAGGACTGCGTAAATGACAATTTCATGGTTCCATTTGGAAGCGACACTTCCAGTCTGTTTGATTATAAGGGGTAAAATGGTTGTTTATTGAGTTCATTATCACTGCTATGACATTTTTCTGCGGTTTTTAAATTTTTTGTATTTTTTAAACAATGTAGTTTGAATAAATTTATCGTCTTTCAAGTTCTTCGTAAATAATAAGGAAATTTACATTTAAAGTTGTACTTTAAACTTCTAAGAACTTATTGCGTTGTTTAGACAACTTGCCAGTTTTTATTGATCCGCATATGTTATCAACTGGCCTTGAATGTAATTTTAGCTACGAATTTAACTTATTATGTAATTTTGTGACCTCTGTATAGGACTGGAGTCGTACAAAGGTCGCAAGCTGTTGGTAAAAGGTGACGGAATTACCTTTGGGATTTATAAACTTTTGTAATTTAACAAGTTTTATACATGAGTGAATTTGGAACAAGAATAAAATTAAACTGATATAAAAAGGGCTAAACACTCACGTATATTCGTCCGGTGACGGCACCGACTAGTTTCGAGCCCATCGGTGGACCTTCATCAGGATGAGTACAACAATAACAGTACCACTCATCCTGATGAAGGTCCCTCGATGGGCTCGAAATTCGTCGGTGCCGTCACCGGACGAATATACGTGAGTGTTTAGCCATTTTATATCAGTTTAGTATAATGTCTCACGGAAGTTTGAATAATTTAAGAATAAAATTAAACTGTAATTAAATTAATGAATCCCCAAGAGGCAATATTGGTGTTAGGATTTCATCCGGATTTTTTGCGTAGTTTTTAGTCTTTAGATAGACTTCCTGAACAAATACCTGTTGAAAACTCACCGACAAGAAAACAAGCACCATAAGAATGAAAAATTACTCAATGTTGTTAACTAATAGAAATATAATTTGGAGCAGAATAAAAAATGTAACAAGCATTTCTAAAGGACATCTCATATGTATGCGAAATATTGTCATATGTAGTTAATAAAATCTCAAGAAGTGCAGTGAAGTAACGCTTAGTTTGACCTAATTAAAATAGACACGACAAGGTTGAAAGTATCTTTTCTTATTCAGGGATTTCATTTAACTTTCTCGTATTGGGGTTTGCGCCAATGTATCACTTCTAGGTTAATGGGACGTAGGAGAAGTTTTACTGGACATGCGCACATTTCCCACTCTCTTTTGCCTTGCGGGCATCTTTTCAAAGTACAAAAGGTGTAAAAGATTCCAGATCATTTATAAGTCAGTGTAAATTCTAGCTTACGCGTGTCACCTACTTTCGTTGTTTACTTAAGAGCTTCATTTTATTTTAAATTCGTGTTTCTGAAAGACGCCGCTTTTAAAATGTTTGTTTTAAAAATTGTAACCAATTAAACCTCCGTCCTCTGTTTTATTTTTGGAATAAGTTAATTGAAAAACTTGGTGCATCCTTAGTAAAGTAGGGATCGATTAGGAAACTTCGAAAAGTTTAAAGGTGAAAAGTATTTTCGTCACAATAGTCCGTACTGACGTTCTCTTTAAGCAATCTGGGATTTCCACGGAACGGCGTTCTTTTGAAATACTTTGTTTCTAATTAAAAGTAAGCTATTTCCAGAGCAATCGGCATCATATTTCAACATCGAAAAGTATAAGAACAATTTTCTAGCAAAGTTTTCCGTCCAATTAAGACCTTATTTAACTTTTTGTGCGTTTCTAGAATCGTCTACATTCAATATGCCGATTGCGCTAACGCCATCTTGCAGCAGAATTATTTTAAATTAAACCCTTTAAAACAATGATATATTTTTACGTTTTGTCCAATTGTGGAGTTAAAGGGCGCAATACTTGTCCCCTCTTGATTTCTTCTTTTTCTATCTCAGTAAATCATAAATTGATACGACCTTTTTGGTTTACACAAAACGTGACAGGGATGTACGTTGCCGGGAAATAAGTGAAAGATTAGTTTGGGAACATTATGGTAGAAATGTAGCAGTAAATGGATCTGACTGGCAATTTTTAAAGGAGATTATATCTAGAAGAAAAAGTATAATAGTTTGGTAATATGTGCTCTATCTTCTATATCCCTCTTGTTAAAATAATGCAATGCGCTTGTAACTATTCAGGCTACATTGCCTACTTAATATTATTAAACAAATCCCTTTGTTACATGTTACTACATAAAATATAAAACATGTATAATTATAACTATAATAAATTCAAAGTAATCTAACGTCATCCATCTACGCTTATTTCAAGATGATGTGTAGATAAGTAATTGTAAACATTAAACATTTGCTTTGTAAATCGATTGCAGTATCAATTGCATTATCAATGGACGCATAATGCGTATACATATTTATATTTGTGATCGTGAGTGATGCAAGTACTATTATCTCACAGATTACGTTTCTGTTTTCGGATCTCTGCACTGTTTACGTGATAGCTTATGTATTGGTCTTTTATGATAGTACGTCAGAATCGTATTTGTTAACAAAACAGCTTTTGTTTTTCGAATAATACATCAGTTCATTTAAAATTCGTACGTGATCGAAAGTAACAAAAACGCAAAATGCATAAGCAAAGTCAAAGTTCCTTTGTAGCTCTAACCTCTGTAAATGGACTGGCTATAAGAGGAAGTATTTTGTGCCTATTTGAATTTCGCCATTTTGGCGCTGATGGTAGTGTTCTGGCGGTGGTGAGGATTCAAACTATTATAATATGAGTAGATATATAGCATCGAAATCTGCGGTTAAATCGGAACAAAGCAAAAGCTGTAATTTCCAAGCAATCGCCTCTCTATTTATAGAGATCCGAGTAGTGGCCAAGAAATTATTGAGTAGCTGAAAAGATAACTTCATTAAAAAAAATATAACATTGTATACAGCCTCATCAATGAAACCTAGCACGTTTTATAATTGCACCTTTACTCCGGATGCGATCACAATTATGTGACTATTTTTTTAGAAAAACTCTTACATTAGTAGTCGATTAATGTTTGGAAACCATACAATTATGTAAAAAGTATGGAATTATCCAACACGCACATAATTCAATAAGTTTTACAAGATATATTTAAGTACTTATTTTGTATAAATAGCTTTTAATTTTTATTAAATTTCTGTAAAATGTCAAGGTTAAAATGGAAAGTATTGTGAGTTATAAATAAACTATTTTTATGAGTATGTGACTGCTAAAAACATATATTCCTTGTAAAAATATGTAAGTTAAATTGAAAATAAAAAATACTAATATGAGAGAATTTATTTACAACAAAGAGATTATTGTACATTTTCCTTGTTTGCGATCAAGTTACTGACCTTCGTCAATATAATTAAAATAACGAATCTATTAAGATATTATAACACATCTGTCGTTAAATAGTAGCTAAAGCAAAATTTACCAACAGCATATTTTAATTATATTGCTCAGGATTTTTTCTTTTTAAAGTAGCGCCGTACGCACTTCAGAAATAGGTTCAAAATAGGACATAAGCCTCCAACATGAACGGAGTGCTGTACCGCAGTGCGCGACGTGAAAGAGATCACATTGAGCTAGAGCGGGACGGCACTACGACCGAATCGATGTAAGACAGAGATACAAATATATTACTATCCTGTTCGACGCCGGTACACTTGCACTCGGATTGCACCGAGCTCTTCATCAATCGGTTCCCGTACTCATACACGTAATACGTAACGATTGCACTGAGAATGAAAACACTTCCTATTATATATTATTTTCCGTTATATAAACTCAACTTGTTTTATTTAAACAGGTAATTTTGAAATCAAGTTAAACATTGCATTGATGTTATTAATTTTATTAATTTTAAATGATAGCTCCAAGTTCATACTACTAAACGTATATCATAGGAAGGACCTACCATGCCTTGCATAATAAAATTTTAAAAGATCTATCTAAGATAGTTTTTCATTGTTATTCCATAATAGTTTGTCATTGATGACTCTGTAGGAAAAACAATTCGAAGTTTCCTGTACAAATAAGTGTTGGTAGCTACATGATTAATTGAAAATGATTAATATTACGGAAGTAGGCATGTCCATATTATAAGGAAAGAATATAACTGTTCTTTTTAGTAAAAACAAATCTCCCGAAAAATGATAAAATGGTGATATGCCTAAAAATTTAAAGAGGCTCAAAAAATAAAGATAGAGATATTTTGGGAAATATTGGTTAGTAGTTTGATACCCTAGCTAATAATAGTAAAAAAAGTACTTATACAAAAGAAAGACAAACACACAACAGAAAATAAAAAAAGGCACAAATTCCGCGTAAATTCATATGTCGTGAGTCTATTTTAATAAGATTTCGGGTTTGTTCCGGGGTTAAATTACAACGATTAATCGTAAATTAATTTAAGACATTTTGTCAAAAAACAATAATTAGATTGGCTAAAACAAATGAATTAATTATTAATAAGACACGACCGTTTTATTAAATACGAGTGAGAATCGATTCGCAATGTCTCGGCTTCACAAACATGAAAACAGCTGTGCGGCTTCGGGCATCATCGCTTTTGTTCGGTATGAGACGAACAATAAACGTATACGTCTATGCTCGCGTCGACCGTCGACTCGACGACGAACAAGTTCGTTGTTCGTTGTCTCTGATTCAGTAGCACATGAGATTCAACGGCGGGGTGTCGTTGCGTTGCCGCCGTACGAATAACAATAAAATCAACCTAACAGGGCTTCCAGTGTACTAATTTTATACATTACTAAAACAAAAGTTTTGTTTAGTGTTTGTTGTGATTTAGTTTCTTCGTACCTGTGTGGATTTATACTTGCGATCAGGTAATGAAAAAACAATAAGGTTTTATTTATAAGCGTCATACGTTTTATTTATTTCAAATTTGAAACTTTACGATTGGATTTGGAGATACCATCCATTATCTACCTATTAATAAGTATCCTCTTAACCGAAATTAATCAAAAATATCGTTACAATAAAATGTAAGTTTTATATAGGCCATGTTAAAGATTCGAACAACATTGATCGTAATTGCAAAATTTAGTGGTTTTACTGCAGCTTATGAATAGTCAAAAGATACACGAAAAGAGAATTAGGTTTATAGAGCAATAACAATCTTCAGGCATAACCTGCATACTGCCAATAAATAAACCGAGTGAAAGATTTGTTCTGAAATAACCTGTATTTTAACGGCTGAAACTATATACAGTAAGAAACAAACAGTTTATAATATTATTTTAATCTTTTAACATCGTAATTTTTTACTACACGATGAAAATAACTACTAATTAACATATTTTACTGAGTTAAATGTTGTTAACTTGTAGTTTTACTTTTAATAATCATGATAAGTGGCCAGGTAGGGCGAATTAACACAAACAAATTAATTGAACATAGCATTGAAGAAAGAAAAGCGTTGCCTGTCACAGATGTACTAATTAATTAAATTGTTGTTTTACGAAAAATCATCTAAAATTAATTAAAAATCGTAATATACATTTTCTTTCATTTACATAGTAATAAAAGCTATGTAGCCAATATGGTTATTTGACTTTTATTGTGGCATTTTAATGCTTAAATTAGCACATTGAAATTTTTGGTTTTCAAAATTACGATACTAATTAAATCGATTAATGATGTCTTATTTGATAATAATTACATAAAACGACACATAAAAATTAAACGACACATAAAAATTCGAACTCATTCGAACGAAAATTCATAGTTGTGATAATTTTTTTTTTCAAAGCAATGAAAATACATTTAAGGTAATGTCAATTGAATAAACATGTAGGTAACCTAATTTATAATCGTAAGGTAATACTGATATAGTGGAACTTTTTCTTTTATTTTATTTAAAAACCTTTCGTCAACAAACCAGTCTGATTAACTTATGAATATTTTATCAATTAGATTCGCTACTCTACTAATTCGATTAACAATGAAAAAAACATCGTAGCTTCACTATGTTTATTTAGTTATTATTCTTATTAGAGTTTAGTTTTTTTTCGTCGACCAAAACGTGCATTTAATAAAATAAGACAGAGAAAATGCTAACTTTTGTATTTTTTACGCGTCTCGTTCCTTTGTGGGAGAAAAAGAATAATGATTTAATGCATTTTTAGTCGACTCCAAAAAGAAGGTTATCAATTCGTCTGTATTTTTTAAACGTAAGTTACGATGGTATAGCAATACAAAGGTAGACTTTTGTGTTCCAATCTTTTTAAACTAAATTAACAGCTAATAAAATCCAGTCTCGTAAATACATGTATCATATAGATTAAAAATAAATCGCCTCATTACGTTAGTGACATGTCAATAACATTTTTTTTTAAATTTCTTGATTAAGGATGTATAAACATTTTAAATATGGAGATAACAGCATCAAACATCATAGTAGGAGTAGTTTACCAGGACTTGAGTAGAATTATACAATATTTATAAGATTAATAGCATTTCAAAAGTTTTCCCAAAGCCGATTACGTCAAACTGTTTTAATTTTGAATTTATAAATCTAAATATCGACTTCATCGTAACCTAATTGAAAGTCGCAAAACTTTTCTCATAGCAACCGAGTTTGTACGTTATTTCAACAAGCTTTCCTAAAGAGTATCTTCTTTTGAAATATTATTTAGTTCGATTATATTTCAACTTCAATCTACAATCTCTCTCACTAATCCCACTAATCCCTAAACTTTAGATGGACTAAAAGTCTATGACGAAAATTTGTATATTATTGTTGCGTGGCTTTAAGAGTGCAAAATATTGATTTGTCTCTGTCATTATCTTTTAAAAGGCAGGGATAACAATATTATGCTTTCGTACATTTCACACGCATGAACAAATAACTACACAATCAGTAGGCAAAAAAACAAAGATTTATAATTGGTAATTCTTTGTTTTAAAAATATTACACGTAATGCAAAATAACGTTAATAACTAACGGAACAAAAATTGAGGCCACAAATGGACCGCTTTTAAATTAAAACGTATGGATTTATCACATGGATATGACTCATCCGTCATATCACAAGAGTTGCTTGTTTATGAATATGTGACCGACATCGTCACTCTGCGTTTCATTGCTTATACAAAAAAACTCGCGTTATTATAAATCATAGACAACCATTTGTTTTTGTATAGAAGTTTTCATATATCTTGGCAGCTCTTAACTTAGCGCGAGTCCCAGCGTAGAACACAGTGTTAAGTTTAGCCAGGCGTATCGGGATGCGGGGAATGGCACTGCGCAGCACGCCAATGGGCCGCCAAGATATTTGAAAAGAACAATACGAAATGTTAAAGTATACTGGAAGACTAAAGGTAGACTCTAGTCTTCTACTAGACGTTTTTTGTACATTCTGGGACATCCTGTATGTTAGTCAAAGGTATAATTTTAAACTAAGTCTCAGATCATGACTCACATGTTATATTACGATTCTCGTAGACGTTCCACAACCGGTTTCACTAAATATTTGTACATCGCTTCTCTTCGCATAAATAAATTAATAAAGTTTAAATAAATAATTCATTGAAAATATACGGATGAAATCGCATATATCATATACATATGAACAATTATACATTTTATCCATAATTAATGTATGGTTTCTGTGGGTCAGATTTCTTTCACATTAACTGTATAAGAAATTAATTAAATCGCAAGGAATTAAATACATTTACAGGTATTTTAATACTTTATTGTTATAATGTCAATAGCCTAATGGTTAAGGGTACGGATTTCCGATCAGGAGGTCGGGGGTTCGAATTCCGCCATTCGACTATTGTCGTAAACCATATCCTAGCACAAGCTTAGAGCTTATTTGGAATGGTTAAAGAAATATTAGTAAATTTACACAAAAATCTGCTAATATATATATAATGCTTTTATACAATAATTTTTCCCTGAAAAATTTCCACGGTGATAAATAAAAAAGCTATAAATATTCATAATGTGAGCATATAATTATATTCTTTTATAAAAAAAGTTTCATTTAAATCTGACTTGATTTTCCAGACAGTAAAAGAGACTAGTTAATTAGGTAAAGTTGTTGCTTAGCAACGGATATTTAATGTCATTTATGCTGATTACATTTGTTCTGTAAAATCATTTCCAGTTATTATTAGTATTAAAATCTGTCCATTGCCGGATGTTGAATAATTCAACAAAATTCAAATGGCATTGATTTTTGTCTATTCTATTAAAACAACATCGGTGGTTTATTTTTAATATGTTATGAACATATGATTTTAACGAGATGTTTTGATACTGATAAATAATAATATCAATTAAAAATATTTTTTTATTTAAATATAAATTTATAAAACATGGTGATATAAGTAGATATGTTTTTATATAAATGTCTTCGCCGTGGAAACCTACACTTATTCAAAACCTCATAAATATTTATCTGAACTTTGTACTGGAATAAAAAAAATATAATAATATATCAACAAACCTTTGTTTCAATAAATAAACTTTATAGAGCGTATTAATAAAACTACAAAAAAAAAATATTATGAATGTTTTGAATTGTTATGAAATATATTAATTAAAAATACTACTGTTTCACATCATAAAAACTAATAATACGTATTAATATAATGAAGCTCAGTGCTGTGGTAATTAATTCTCAGTAATAAATCTTTAAGAATTGTTAATTCGTTAGTTAATCTTAAGTTAAGTGTGTGTTAATACGGTTAATTACGATGTTATGATGTCTTAGCGCTATAATATCGATTAACTATGTTTTACTGAATATACAAACATATGGTTTGATGCATACAGACATTCGCATTTGCAGATGCATTACCTAGCTTAAAGCGACAGAGGGGCTCACATAATAAGGATATTGGATGTATGAATCGATAGATGTTACGTATGTGTATGAAATTCGACATAGATGTAGAACAGTCTTTCCCAAAGTGGGCGATAACGCCCCCTTGTGGGCGCTGCAGGTCTAAAGGGGGCGGTAAGAGACCCAGAAAGAAAATGGGGGCGTTGTGTAGAGGCCTGGGGGGTGATTTGTAATTTTATTTAGCCAGGAGGCCTCTTAGACAACGACTGCATGAGCTCTGGACTCTTGTGAATATCAACTAATATGAATTAAAAGATTGCTTAAACTCTAATATGGGGGCGCTAAAAATATTTATTCTCAAAGTGGGCAGTAGACAAAATAAATTTGGGAACCACTGAGGTAGAATATAATCTGGTAGAACACATAGGCTACTAATTAAGTTTTATTTTAATATCATGCGGATGGTGTCGCGGGTGATCGTTAGTGTTTGAATATTTGAACTCTTATGAATGTGGAAAATATAACCTATATAAAAATTGTACAATCTCCATTTATGGAAAAAAATATTGCACTCGTTCAATCTTTCAACATAGTTGCTTTGATTCTTTGTGTATTTTCTTTGCTTTTGTTATCTAGATAAAACATTATGTTGTATATAGGTTATGTTATTACATCTTGATGCAATGCGTCTATTACAAATATTTCTTTAAATATAATTAATAAAAGTAGAAAATGTAGAGTTATATCCATGTTCCGCGGTTCCATGCACGCTTCTTATTTAATCGTATATTTTATTTATTATAACAAATTACATTTATACTGGTAGAAATATATAGATTGTGTGTCGTCAGCTCAATATGATATACGGCTCAGATCCAACCCAAGTGAAGGGTGACTACGCCGGTTAACCACGCTGGCCCACTGCGGTTTGGTTGACATCTTTGAATTTCTTCGTAGATATACTCATATGCATTGCATCACGATGTTTTTCGTCAACGTAAGAATACGTATAGATTATAAGTGGTAAA